TCTACATCTTCACATCCTCACATCTGCAGATCTACATCTTCACATCCCCACATCTGCTGATCTACATCTGCAAATCTGCAGATCCTCTCTCTCTCTCTCTCTCTCTCTCCCTCCCTCGCTCTTTCTTTCTTTCTTTCTTTCTCTCTGTAGGCGCAGGCGGTGGCGATGAAGTGCCACGAAACGTGACAGGCGCAGCATTTCGCGCACGTTGGACGTCCAAAACCGAAGTCAAATTGCAATTTTGAAGAACGCTGCAACCTTTCGCACGAAATGAACCTTGAACACATGAGGTGTCCACTGCAACCCATTCGCGCGAAATGGACGTTGAACGTCAAAAACTCGTGTACAATTGCAATTTTGCTGCAACTTTTTCGCGCAAAATGGACGTTGAACGCAAAAACTCGTGTAACATTGCAATTTCGAGGTGTCCACTGCAACCCTTGCGCGTGACATGGACGTTGAACGTCAAAAACCGTGTATAATTGCAATTTTGAGGCTTCCACTGCAACCCTTTCGCACGAAACGGGCGTTGGACGTCGAAAACTCGCGTAAAATTTCTATTTTGAAAGTCCACTGCAACCCTTTCGCACGAAATGGACGTTGAACGTCAGTACCAGCGATACATCTCACCCAGACGCAGGCAAATCAGCTCAGAACCATAGCTGGGATGTTGCGCCGCCCTATTCGAGAATTCTACATCATTTGCACTGAAAACTGACAATTCAGCCCGGTACCGAAATGGTGGCTTCGTGACGCCAACGCGATACATCTCACCCAGACGCAGGTATCAGCTCAGTACTATAGCTCTGATGTTACACCACCCTATGCCAGAATTCCACACCATTTGTGATGAAAACTAACAATTCAGCTCACTATACCGAAATGGTGAAATCACGACGCCAACATGATACATCTCACCCAGACGCAGGCAAATCAGCTCAAGACCATAGCTCTGATGTTACACCGCCCTATTCCAGAATTCTACACTATTTGCGGTGCGATGCCAACTCGATGCATCTCACCCAGACGCAGGCAAATCAGCTCAGTACCATAGCTCTTCTGTTGCGCCGCCCTATTCCAGAAATCCACACCATTTGTGCCATTTGCCATGAAAACTTCTTCTCTTCGTCTTCGCGCGGTCATCTTCCTCGGTTCCTCTTCACACATCGTCTGGACACACCTGCTTGCACTTCAACACCTTGTCCTTTTCATCTTGCTTGTCTTTCTCCGGAATTGTTTGTAACTTTATGGATCTTCTTTACACATCTTTCCTCAGCAACCTTTCTTCAAAATAATCGTTCATTTGAATATTTAATATTTGTAACTTTTAGTGTCTGCTTATTTCATTTTTTATTTTCTAATTCTCCTACTTGACGCTGCTATGACATCACCTTTTTCGCTCCGGGCCAACCGTCGTTTAGTGCAACGTATGGACCGACCTTGGTCCTGGCGTGCGCTCTGACACGCATTCCGACGGTTGTTCTGCTGTCAGGCAACTGCAAGGAGAGGAGGCAGAGAGAGAGCCAAACATGAGCATTACATATCATCACAACTCACCCCCGCACGTGTCCAGGTATGGGCGTCGTCACACCTGCGCAGGCGTGCGCATCTTCACATCCGCTCAAACCCACACTTGGCAAAAATAAACTCCCTCCTGTTGGTGTCCGGCTCCCATGCTGTGTGGACATATGTCCACACTGACCTGAACCCGGCTGACGGGCCTATCCGGCGGCCAGTGAAGCGTCGATGGGGAAAAAAGGTCGTTTGGAGAAAGAAGCGAAGAGCCGCCTTAGGAAGATTGAAGTCGGAAAGGTTCTGGGATTTCCTGTGAGAGGAAGACCGTCGAATCCCGGACCAAGAAAATGAATTGGACACCTTGCTTTGCATCTACCTGGAGGACGCGCTTTAGCGTCTGATACTGTTGCAGCTGGCAGCTGCACAGGACGCGCAACCTGATGTCCGTAAGCGTTTGCCCGCTACGTGGCGACTCTTGAAGGCATGGAGTGTTCATGAAATCCCCGCAAGGGCTTCACCGCTCTCCGAGGAGGAACTGGAGACAATGGTTGGGCGCGCCATGTTTTGCAAATCCTGCCAGTTCGCCTTGTCTCTCCTTGTTGGATTCCGTACGGGAGAGATTCTTGCCTTGCATGGTCGTTCCGTGGACTCTGTTCGAGGTCCTGCAGTGCTTTGTTGGTCGCAGCACGCTCGACCCACTGACTCCCTATGTGACACGCCTAAAATGTTTACTCACACTTTAAACGTTTAACTGCAGCTAGATTTTTCTTGTGATTTCCGCCCATACTCCCTGCAGAGGGGGCGCGACGTAATGGTTTACCAAGTGGGGGCAACTTGATCGGTTATCGGTGTATGGCCGCTGGCAAAATGCCCGCGCGGCTCAAACTTACATCAACGACGGTTTAGCTGTTCTCACGGGAATGACCTTCAAGTGGACAGATGCCAATCGCAACTTTCGCCGTATCTTTTTGAAGTCATTTCACCAACCTTTGCCTCCGCTTGAGCCCGCTTTGTCAAGCAGGACTAGGGGGCTGTGGAAGTAAAGGCAAATTTTTTAACTCACAAGCGCCAGAGCAAGAACGCGTGAGAACGCAGGGTTATGAGGCCTTGGAGTTCTCCGGCGGTTTGGCGGAGCACCAAGGGTAACCCTCTAGTCCTTGAGGCTGATTGGCTGTACGGTTTGGCGACAGCCCTTCAGGGGGACCAAGTAGAATTGGGAGAGTTCTCCTTTGTGAATTTGCTCTATTTTTATTGACAAGTATGGCCTTGCAAAGCAATTAAAGACGTGTGAGCGCCTTGAGTCTTTATATAGATAGATAGGTAGATATATATTGTGAGCTTCGCATCTGCCGAAACACCGTTATTGACAGTGTTTTCATACGCTGGAAAGCAAAAACCACAAGAAATAGCGAGGTTTTTGAGGTTGACGTGTTTGTATGCTCTGTGGGGAAGAAACCACTGCAAACAGCGATGTTTTTGAGCTTGCCGTGGCCCAAAAACACTGCTATTTGCAGTGTTTTTGAACCTGCTGTCAAAAGCACGGCAATTTGCGCCGTTGTCAACATCGCGGTCACCAAAAACATTGCTATTTGCGCGGTTTTGTACATTTTCGCGCAAAGACGTCAAGGCAATGTGCAAAAACACTGCAAAAAACATCCCCGTGAACAAAACCGTCTAAGATCAGGAGCTTGAGCATCCATGTCTAGTCTAAAAAAAGTCTAGTCTAAAAAGAGTAGCTTAGCGTGGCTGATTTTAGACCAGAGGGACTAAAGACACAAGCCACGTTGAGAAGGTTGGTGCTGCTGATTTTTTGAGAAAATGTCTATTTTAAGTTTGGTCAAGGAATAATATCAGGTCTCTGATTCAATATATAGGTTTTAGGTTTGAAGAGGTTGCGCAGTTGATTCTAGAAAGAACTATGTTGTTTTTTTGCAGTCCTTGGCTCTGCAAATGGTTTACCATCCATGCCAGTCCTAGAAGACGACGAATTATTTAGAATAGAATACCCAGTTTCAACCATTGTCACTCCAGTCTCAATACAAAGCCACGCGCTCGTTTTTTCCTATTTCAACTTTTCTCACATAGCCAGCCACCCCGTGGAGCCTACCAGTGGCCCAACCCTGCCCAAGACCTGGTGAGATGTATTTTTGGACAGGTTGACCAATAAAACGTTGCGTCTTTCACGCAAATTCATAAACAACATAGCCCTCCAAGAATTGTAATTGGAGGATTGGGGTACACAAGTAGTGTCGCCACCCTTCGAGGGCCTGAGGAATGACAAGGCCCCTGTAGCTAGAATCAGGGGGTATCTCATCCCATAGATGTCAATATTTTGTTGCAGTGGCTAGTATGCTTAGGCCCCTTGATTTTATACTCTCATCTTCTATGTGCTCTTGACTCTTGATTCTTTACCACATTTTCGTTGCTGGAGGCTATGTCCACAGATTTAGGCTTCTAAAGTGGGCTGCGCTGACCTACCCCTCGAATCTGCATGGGAATGCAAAAACCAATGTTTCTGTCCAACAAAAATGGCGAAAACCGTTACCCAAACAGCTCCGAAATCATAAAATCTGGCCCCCGACCTCCCGACAAGACACATGGAAAAAAGAACGCGTTTCAAAATCGAAAATCGAAGACCTCACTTTTCTCTTGCCGACTCCGGGCGGGCGCGCGCGCGAACAAGTCCAGTCCGCGCTGTAAAAAATGTGTTTTTGGAGGTCCGCCCTTGCGACCTATCAAAAACCTATGGTATTGCAAAAAAATGCACCGCCAAGGTAAACCTGTACCTTGCAGTTGTTCATGCAATCCGGGCGATCACGCCCGGAGCACCTCCGGCGCGGGCGGATTTGGACCGTGTCTGAGCCGACGTGGGTTGCGCTGGCAAAGCTTGCCAATACTCCGCCAACAGGGGGGTTGCCAAAGTCGGGTCCATGGTCGAGCTACGCCAAACTGGTTCGATCAACTTCTCGCAGTACTGCCAAGATGTACAGCTCGCCAAGGGCACTAAGGTGATCACACAGGTAGAACATTTCATCCCTGTTACCCAGAACTATGACCTATGTTTGGGTTCAAATTTTTTTCAAAACCGGTAGGTTAGATACGGCCGGTTATCAGTCAGGTCTCAACATCTTTAAGGAGTGTACATAGTAAATGCTTTCGGTTCCGCATTCCAGTTAGGTAGGCACAGTGTTTGCCTCCCACATTTGTCATAGGTGATCTGCTGAGAAACGAGCTTCAGGTGTTAAAGGTACGCAGTTTGGCCATCAAACTGCTTGAAGGCAAATCACCATCGAGATGCCAAACGTTCACATGGAGCAGTCCTCAGCAACAAAAGGTTTCTAGGCAATTCTTCGGAGGTGCCCGACTTCGCCCAGGAATCCGCCAGAGCAAAGGCAGAGGGAGCTCAGATTTGGGGAGAGGGCGCAGGTCCAGGAGTGAGTTTTATCATGTCACCATGGTATTTGGAGCGTTTGACACGCTCACACACTCTCTCACTCTCTCACTCACACTCTCTCTCTCTCTCTTTCTCTCTCTTTCTCTGTCTTTCTCTCTCTTTCTCTCTCTTTCTCTCTCTTTCTCTCTCTTTCTCTCTCTTTCTCTCTCTTTCTCTCTCTTTCTCTCTCTATCTCTCTCTCTCTCTCTCTCTTTCTCTCTCTGTCTCTCTCTCTCTCTCTCTCTTTCTCTCTCTGTCTTTCTCTGTCTCTCTCTGTCTCTCTGTGTCTCTCTCTGTCTCTCTCTGTCTCTCTCTGTCTCTCTCTCTCTCTCTCTTTCTCTCTCTCTCTCTCTCTCTCTCTCTCCCTCCTTCCCCTCTTGAGCTGGTTCGCGCGCAAGATGCTGAGGAGTCCTTGCGCAAGGCAAAGCAAAAGCCAAAGGTGGATGGAAGGCCGAGTTGGGAGGGTGCATGTTTTAAGGTAGTCTCAGACTTGTTTCACCTTCGAAAAAAAAGATACGAAAGCCAGCCGATAGGCTAGGCTTGAGCTTTCAGAGCGAGCGAAGTGTGTTAAGGGGGTGTGGGGAGGGTGGTCGTTGAGAGGGACAAAAGGAGAGGGTGAACCCAGAGCTTGGTGGGGGAGAGCGCTCCAAAGAGAGGGTCAGAAAAGCAGCGAAAATGGGGTCTGGTGATGCGAGTGATGCAATGGACGGCGAGTAGTGCATCATTAGCGTCACGAAGGGCTTTGGAGGCTATTTGGACAATGGGCATTGAGCAATCGAGCGGAGACAGGCGCCCACGTACAGAGCAGACAGCAGCCGCATTTAGAATACGAGTTCCCAGGACAACCCGTAACTCGCGAAATCCATAGAGAACCGAAAGTGACACGAGTTCAAGTCCTTAAATTTGGATTGAGTTTCGGTGGGGACGCCTGCAAGGTTGACTACATATCCGCATAGGGCTCCTGCCCCCTAGCAAAAACTATATACTTGCACCATGTCCTCGGTCGAGTGGATGCTTCTCGCGGCGTCCACACGCACCGAACATTTTTCCGGCTTGCCGGTGCAGATAGATAGATAGATAAATTCTATATACTACTGACACATGATCGCCTTTTTGCTGGCAGCCCTGGCCGAATCCAGTCAGCCTGGGTCCATGGCCCAAAGATCTACACACGCAGGTGCCAAAGTCAAGGCCTCTGAGTGAGCAAGGCGCAGAGTTGATGAGAAAGAGAAGAATAAAGGACGTGTTTGGATCGTTTAATGAAGGCCCGTTTTAAAAATGTCGTGTTTTGGATCGAGCCAGACCATGACTCGCTCAAGACCAGGCACGTGCATTGATAGGCGCACAAATCCTCACCTTTGCGAGCCCAAGCTACTCCCGCTGGACCTCCCCTTCTGCGCCGCGGGATCAAACGTCCGCGCCCCGGCTAAGACGTGCCCGTTCACTCTTCCAAATCAAACAATGCCGCTCTTCGACGCGCCGCAGTATGCATGGCAAACTTCAAGCGCTCCAAATGTAACAACCGCATAATTGATTCTTTTCAAACGTATGCCGTACTCGCGCGCGCGACGCTGACTATATGGAGAAGGTCTTCCTGCGCGCGCGTGTCCCACCACTCGAACTCAGACGGTTATTTCCCCTTCGCTAACGCTGATGTCGCCTTCCAACTTCCATAAGACGCATACCTTCCTGCGTGTGACAAAAATGCATGCCATTGCCTTGTGATGATGACCGACGCCAACATACAACGTATCGCCTTTCTCTTTCACTACTTCTTTCATACCAAACTTATCCCAAAGCCGCCCGGCTTGCTTCTCTGCTCCCTCCATCACCATTACATACGTCCCCTGCATCCGCGGCACCGCTGGCTCGCAAGCTGCCGACCATGTGTCTTGCGCCGCGACGCCCGCCAGAAAAAGAGACACTCGTCTGGCGGCTGCTGGCTTTCGTCCCCCAATTGTCAGGTATATGTAGATGTAGGTATGTATATTGACCTTGGCAGGGGGCGATGGACTTCGACAGAGGTGAACGTGGGCAAGAATATCACGTGGAGGAGCAGACATCAGTTGGTGGGTAAGCATCAACAAACATTTCGAGAAAAAAGAACAACAACTGAACCAGGAAAGGTCCTAGCTGTGCTTCACGCGCGATTGCATCTTTGATTCACATGATTCTGTACAACCGTCAGGAAAAACAGTATGGTGCTTGTTTGCTCCTTACTTGGCGAACAAGGCTACCTTTCCAAATACTGGTGAATGCTGTGGAATAAATGCGGTCGAGGCCATGCCAGCTTGATGCTTCTGTCCTGATGTTTCTGCCGAGGTGTTCACTGCCACACTCACTTTACTGATGACAGTATTTACTGTCGGCGATGTGGCGTAAAACGAGTTGATGACTGAGTATTTTGTGAGTGAAGCAGCTTGATCTGGAGTTGCTCTTAGCTGGCAAGTGGTTAAGATGTCTATTAGCCTACTGGGATGATGCTGCGATGACATCCAGCACGATATTCAAAGTTTCGCTGATGGATATTAATCCGAGTCTATCCATCCAACAGTCATGGAAGTGGACCATGGTTCCTTGGACTGTTTTCCTCTGACAAAAATCTGACAAACAGGGGCGCCCACATTTGTAGGAGGAAGGGTGGACCCCAAAGATAAGGAGCGTTGACGTTCAAAGATCAGCAGCCTTTACGTTCGCATGGGGTGCATCAAACACCCTCCAAAGCTGAACTATGAACCCCTTGTTAAAGTGGGGTCTTGAGAATGCAGCCACTTGCACTGCATTAGTTGGACAATGGCTGATAGACGGCCCGTGGTCCGTCGTGCGTCCTTGTGCAACATTACGCGGCACTTTGCGAGTCTTTGCGTAGTTGGTGGCTTTGTTTGCTTCGGGGGGCTTTAGAAGGCAAATCTTCTTGACGAAGCTTTATTAGCGAATCTTGTTGACGAAGCAAAATCTTCTTCACCGAGCCTCAGCAGACACTGAAAATCGCAAGAAAAACATCGAGTTTTTGACACTCGACACGCGTTCGTGCGAGAGTGGTGCATCTCGCAACAACAAACTCGCAAAGCGCAACGAGTTTTTGACACTTGACGCGCATGTCGCCGCAGAGGGTTGCGCCGGCACACTTCTCGTTGCTCCCGCCTCGGCTTAAGAGAGAAAAGAAAAGAGGGCGTGAGGATGTAAGAAGTGAAGGTCTGAGATGTGAGGGCCTGAGATGTGAAGGTCTGAGAAATGAAGGTCTGAGATGTGAGGGCCTGAGATGTGAAGGTCTGAGATGTGAAGTGAAGGTCTGAGATGTGAAGGTCTGAGATGTGAGGTGTGAGATGTGAAGGTCTAAGATGTGAAGGTCTGAGAAGTGAAGGTCTGAAATGTGAAGGTCTGAGATGTGAGGGCCTGAGATGTGAAGGTCTGAGATGCTGACATGTGAAGTGAAGGTCTGAGATGTGAGGTGTGAGATGTGAAGGTCTGAGATGTGAAGGTCTGAGAAGTGAAGGTCTGAGATGTGAGGGTGTGAGATGTGAAGATGTAAGATTGCCCCTCCTTTTTTTTGAAGAACCCTTCGCGCAAGCGCTTTCGGGAAAAAGGGGGGCCCTCAGAGCTATCCAAGTCAGTTGGGCTTTGGACATGGGGTGGGAGTTCATGTCGAGGACAACGCGACAGGAAAAACCAGGAAAGCGAGATGTCCGTCTCTCACCTCGGGGAATAAGAGTGGAAGGGAACGCGAGAAACGATGTCGCCCGTAGAGTCGAGCGCAATCAGCCACCTTGGAGTTGTTTGGGGGGTGCCCCTTTATATGGTCAAGAGGACTGTTAATTGGATGAGAAAGGCACCCTCAGAGCTAGAGATGTCCAAGGGAGTTAGGCTTTGGTGCGGGAGTCGATCCAGGCGCAGCATATATTAGCTTTAGCAGATCTAGCTTCAAAGTGAGATGTGCGTCTTTCAGCTCTTTATTAAGAGTGGGAGGGAAAGCAAGAATGTGACCCGTAGAGGACAGGAGAGGGAAAGGAATGGAGACAGCGACCTTTGAGTTGCTTGGGGGTGCTTCTTTTTATGGTGAAGGAGCCTTTATGTTAGGAATTTAATACAGAAGCACCTCACATGTGGATTTGAGTTCATGTTCAGTTGCGCAGAGCACTTGAGACTTCAACTTGCCGGTCACATGCCCAAGCTTCGGTTTGGGAAAGCCCGCTGCGCTCGCTACCGCGAACATGGCAGCGGAGCCGATCAAAGCATCGGCTCCATCTCCGCCCGGTCGCGCGATGCCATGGAGATATCTTGGACTTTTCATCATGATGATGGCGACCGTTGGCGTTGAGAACTACCAGGGCAACAACATGGACTACCAGGAGGACAAGGACAAGATCTTCTACGTGGACTTGGTGACCTTGGAGGACTTTGGTGAGGGTCGGAACCTCGAGCAAGGAGGTGAGTGGGACAGTGGATTGGTACCGCTGGCTGGAAGCAGATGGGGCCCGCGCTTGGAAGGCAGCTCATGGCCAAAGGTCATTGCAGTGGACCTGACATGGATTCAGCTTTGAACCTCTCAGGAGTCGGGGGATTGGCGCCCGGACTCGAGCTATGGTCGATTTGAGCGTCGACAAGTCGGAGATTGGTACTCGGACTTTCTGATCTTGATTGAAGAGGTGATGGTCGTGAGCTTGAAGAGCTACTATAACGACATGGAGAACGCCTTTCTCGACTTTGTGAACCAGTCCCTCCATGACTGTGACACCTACAAGATGTGGGAGCAGGTGAATGCAATGGTTGGATCGAGGACTTTGTGCTTCTTGATCTTCCTGGTTGTATATGGAGTTGATTTGATGATGAGCCAAATGCGCAGATGCAGGAAACTTGGTTCGAGAAGAACTTTGATCGCAGGCCACTTGGGCTACTACAAGCAGAGAATGGTGGGCTACGTGGACGCTCTGAGAAGAAGTTGCAGCTTCGTGTTCGTGGATTGATCTTCATGACCCTTTGGTTGAACGCCTATGCCATGGATCAGGACCAGATGAACAGAATTCTTTCTCAGATGATGACCTTGGCGGACGCGGCAACCATAGCGGCTAGGGCTTCCTCATCGGCGACGGAAAAGATGGACGGCAGAGGAAATGATGGTGGTTTCAGTGAGGCGTCCAAGATTCTTCGACCACCAGAGAGCTTCGATGTGGATGATCCCATGAAGTATGTGGCCTGGAAAGAAAGCTTTACAAATTGGCTGACTTACGGCAACTACAAGACGAGCCTTGCAAGCTTTCAGACTTTGCCAGCAAGGAGGTCAAAGAGATGGCCAAGAAGTTGTATGCCATCTAGGCATCATACATCAAAGGCCCTGCATCCCAGATTGTCAGGGCAGCTGCTGGTGAGCGGAATGGATTCCTCGTTTGGCAACAGCTTCGGGACTTGTACATCCCGCGCGCAAGACCAAGGACCATGGCAATTGGGCAAGCTATCATGTGCTACCCATCCTTCCAGCAGGGCAAGAGCATGCTGGAGAATTTGCTTCAGCTGTATCTTCTTTTGGATCAATACAGACTGGCTTCAGGACATCCCATGCCTCAAGATTTGGTGGTGGCCACGGTCCTTCGATGTGTGGCACCCAACGCGCGGCAGCATTTGGAGCTGACCCTTGATGACAAGATCGACTACTACAGTCTGAAGGAGAAGCTGACCTTGATGGACAAGAATAGCAAAGTTTGGTCCGGAGATTCCTACTTGAAGATGGCGCAGAACTCGATGAGCGCAAGCTCAAATGGACCTGCGCCCATGGACGTGGATCAGGTTGGACAAGTCTCCAAAGGCAAAGACAAAGGTGGCAAGAAAGGTGGCAAAGGCAAGACAGGTGGATGGTTCCCCTTTGGCTACAACAGTGGCAAATACGGTGGCAAGAGCTCTAAAGGAAAAGGCAAGAAAGGTGGCAAAGGCAAGAAGGGCAAGAAAGGCAAGAACAAGTATGGCGGCCGTGGAAAAGGAAAAGGTGGAAATGTGAACAACAACACCTGTCGCATTTGTGGTCAACAAGGCCATTGGGGGAATGAACGCTATAGCAAAGCTCAGACGGTGACGCAACAGAGCTTAGCAGAAAGTGAGATTGCTAGCTCGGCTGGTGGCAAGGCAAGATCAACTACAGCGTCTTCAGTGGCTTCAACCAATGTTCCAAAGACAGTGAGACAGGTGACTTTGATACCATGTGGCAACGCCTAGAGAAGAGCAGGAGGCCCCCGTCATCTACAAGATTCAGAGTGAAGGCGGTGACAGCTGGATCTATGACGATCACTACAAAATCAATGTGGTGAGCTACAGCTTGTTCCATGACTCTAAGGTTGAAGAGACCTTTGATGACTTCATCTTGGAGATCTGTCTACCTCTTCATGGTGAAGGAGAAGCCATTCAGAAACCCAAACACAAGACGACCTTTACGACGGATTCCCCGTGGAGTTCGAGGACCTGGCAGAGGACCTGGACCTCATCGTGATCTTGGAGGTGAAGATAAGCCTGATGACCCTCCTGAAGGAAATCCAGGAAACCAAGATGTTCGAGATAGAGACGCTGATGATGTGATGCAATATGCTCGAGAAAAAAATTTGTGGAACCCCAACAGAAGCGAAGAGAGAAAGTGGAACAAAGCATGGTGGGGGAGAAGTTGAGACAGCAGATCAACCAGCTTCGAAATTTCTTCGAGTACCTCCTCTAGGATGAGGAGGAGAGTGCTGGCAACTAGGCACCGATGACACCAAAGCTACTTCGACTTCCAGTAGGCCGCAAGAAATGCTTGATGATGCTGAAGAGAAAGAACCATTGCCAAAGATTCCAAGAGTGACCAGTCCAGAAGGCAGTCCAACACATTTGTATGCACCTCACTATGCTGGTGGTGTGAAGCAGGTGACAGAAGACATCCATCCAGTCAACAAAGAACGATGGGAGATGGAATGGACTGTGGTGGGGCTTGACACAGTTGATGAAGGACAACCTCCACAGGTGGATGCAGAAACCATGAAAGAGATTGAGGCCGCAGCAGGGCAAGAAGAGATTAGTCGACTCCTGGACATGGGAGTGATCAGAGATCCCACAGAACAAGAAGTTGAACAAGGAGAGATTTTGACGACCCGATCTGTCTATGATTGGCGATTTCGTGATGGCAAGTAGAAGAGAAGATGCAGATTTGTTGCAAGAGAGTTCAAAGGCAATGATGTCTCCTCAGCCAAAACCTTTGCACCAACATCTTCATTAGCAGCGACAAGATTGGTGCTTGGGACTCACGTTATCCTGAAGTGGCACCTATGCTTCCTTGACATCAAAGATGCTTTTCTTTTGGTGGATCAACTTTGTTTGGTACTTGTGGAACAACCAGAATGGTGGAAGGCAGAGGAGAAGACCGAAAACTATGGCCAACGTCGCTTATGGACACTCGCCAAGTGTTTGCCAGCACAACGGGACGCAGCAGCTCGCTGGTTCAATTTTCTCAGCGATCATCTTTGAGATCTTTGTTTTCAGAGCCATATGAGCCGACCTTCATTGTTTAGGCACGAAAACAAGCAACTTGGTCCAGTATGTCATGTTGATGACTTGATTGTTGCTGGACAACTAGGAGACCTACAATGGCTACTGGAGATGATGAAGAAGTTCGCGCTGAGTGAACCTGGCATTCTTCCACGAGAAGGACAACCTGTGGATGAAGCAGTGAGATGCTTGAAGAAGAGGCATTTCTTCACGAAGGAAGGTTTGGTGGTCATGCCTCATGAACGATATGTCCCAGGACTTTTGGAGTTGTACAACCTCACCAATCGAGCAGGCAAAGCTACTCCAGAAAGCACGCAGGCGGACCTAGAAGGTGACCCAAACTTCAAGGTGGAGAACAACATCGATTTCGATCGGCGCTGGGTACACCCCTTTGTACATCTCTCAAGACAGGATTGACATCCAGCATTGTGTGCGAAATCTTTCGCAGTTCATGGCAATGCCTACGAAGAAGGAGGAGACAGGGCTCGAACGTGTCATTTCCTACTTGAAGAGGACAGAGAACTATGGGCTATTGCTTCCCTACACCAAGAGCAAGAGCAAGAAAGCAGAAACTACCTTTCATACCTCCAATGGTTCTTCCTCTACACCGTGTTCATTTTCATTTTGGGCATGTACACCGGCTACAAGTACCGGATACGATTGAGCATTTTGGTTCGCACTGCTATGCGCTTTTTCAGGCAGGAGATCACCATGGAATTCCAGAGACAACAAGATGAACGCCTGTTCAGAGAAGGCATTCTTCAAGAAGCTCGAAGTTTCTGATCGACGGAGTGGAAGAGATCTACTTCTTCGAGCTCAGATGTGGTCAGCTGCAGGTGGGGGGTGGCGACATGAAGGACGCACAATATCCCCAGACAACCCACTTCTACCTGCAGTACCTGATCGGCAACTAGAACCAGAGTTTTGACATGGACCAGGAACTGAGCCCAGCGAGAACATGGAGAATGATGCTGACTATGCATGGATTGGTGAATGGACTACAGATTGGGATCCAGAATCAGGCGAGAATATCGAGTCCTGGCTGGATCAGAAGAAGCAGAAAGTGGAGAAGAGTACTTCACAGGCAATAATGGGACAACAGGCCTCTATCGGAGATACCGACCAACAAGATCAGAAAGAGAAGCACCACCAACAACCAGACTATGAACGATAGCCAAGACATGGATGTGGACATGGACGCCAACAATGGAGGAGAGAGACCTGGAGGAGTATGGTCAGATTACAATCGCAATGAGCCACCCAGTGATGCGAATTGGAATGACCTTGAGACGATTATTTGCCACCAGATGAAGAAAGACGTGGACGAAAAGTGCAAAAAGCTGGAATTTTTCCGGCTGGCTCGCTGAAGGAATTCTTGCAAGCAAGGATTGGACAGCTCCATGGACAACGTGATCCTAGGGCAGCATTCGACCATGTGCTGCGATGGAACGCTGAAGAGAAGCGTGACTTTGCAAACTTTGCAATCATGGTCCTGTCGGGCCAGTGGGAGCTGAACTGGGACGAAAACGTCCGACGCTACTTTGAAGAGGAGTGGCATAAAAGATGTCACTTGGACGTTCCAACTTTTAGGTGGGGCGTCAGGAGTTTCATACAGAAGCACCTCACATGTGGATTTGAGTTCATGTTCAGTTGCGCAGAGCACTTGAGACTTCAACTTACCGGTCACATGCCCAAGCTTCGGTTTGGGAAAGCCCGCTGCGCTCGCTACCGCGAACACCGAACACCTTAACTTTAACTGGATGAAAAAGGGCACCCCTCAGAGATAGATGTCCAGGGAAGTTGGGCTTGGGCACGGATCGAAGTCTATCCTATGCACAGTAACCGTGGACGGGACTTGACCCAGGTGTTGCATATATCGGACCCAGCAGATCCAGCTTTAAAGCAGATCCAGGGGAGTCTTGCACCGCCCGCCGCCCGCTTCACTATACATGTTGTTCTATTGCAGGGCCCTGTTTGTGAATGAAAGCCCCGACTGACAATCAAATTGTGCCGCTCGACTGTTGTCAAGCATGAGGAAATAGAAGGCAACTCGCATTGAGGGTGGATATGATAGGCTCTTTATACACTAGATGAAGGCCAGATCCTGTACTGTATACGTACCGCCTGGATCAACTCTCCTTCGCTATGAGGTGTGATAGGATAGACTTGGATTTGTACCGAAAGCAGATTCTCTTGGACATGTATAGCTCTGAGGGGTGCCCTTTTTCATCGGGGCAACAAGCTCTTTCACAAAAAATTGTTCCCCTCCAGCAACTTAGCGGTTCCTGATTGCATTCTATGATGTCTTTCCAGGAGATCCCATTTCAAGACGCAGTGGTAAGGATTACGCCCACAAATATTCTCCTGACTTCTCTGAACGCTTTCTCTAGGAGAAATAGATCCTAGCCATGGACACACCCGGTTAGCCTGGTCAACTCCCTGTGAGTTCGCTCCTTCGGGGGTGCCCTTTTTCTTGTGGTTTCGGGGCGTGTTCAAACTGAACGAAGGGCACCCCTGAGGCACTGAGGGTGTTTGGCTGCCGACTTCACCCCATAACCACATTGATGTCTTCTTACAGAGGTTGTTTGTTCTTTTCAGGTATACATATATGTACATATATACGTACCGCAACACACAAAATATGCACATGCACTGGCATGAGCCAACGCAATCAAAACATGTGTTTCAACACGTGGCGCTGTGGGCGTGCTGAGTTGGAGAAAGCATTGGACTGGGATGAAGTGGACGAAGTGTCGGAATCGAAGGAGTCGGAAACTTTGGGCGCCACTCTCCACACTGTTTGAAATGGGGGGTGGATTACCACCCTTGGCTCAAGGACCCTTCGGATGTCCACTGGGAGCCTGCAAAGGCTGACCAGACAAAAATTCATCCTGAGGCTGCAGAACCTCGAAATACACTTGTTTTGAACTGGGACGTTTCCATATGTTTCTCGCCTTGTGCTTTGTGTCAAACAACTTTGTAGATCTTGCAGGTGCCAGGGCTAGAACGCGCACAGCTACCACAGTTGCCCTCTGGCAAACCTGACATGTTTGACCCACCGAGGTGCAAGGACATGTGATTGATTTTTGTGCCAAAACTGGCAGCAATTAAGGTACTGTATATATATATATATATTCAGAAATATGAAGAGAGAGCGAGAGAGAGAGAGAGAGAGAGAGAGAGAAAAAAATAGAAATAAAACGTAAGGATGAGGATGGCTATGCTCCGCCAGGTCCCCCAATATCCAAGCAACAAATGCCACCAATGCCACCACCACCAGCTTTGAGGGGTGGCCTGGTCCAGGTGTGCAAATTTGATTGTTCAAAAACCTGGAGCGTTTCAACGCCATTGGACTCGAGAGGCGTCCAAGGATGCAGAAGCATCACGAGAAAGAGAACCAGAGGAGAAAGTACTAGAGGAGAAATTCCCATGGAAGGCCGAAGCGACTATACCCAAGGCTGTATCACCGGCGGTGCCGAAGACGGCGGTCAAAGAAGGGCCGAAGACTGCAGCCAAGATGATATCAAAGGCAGCGCCGAAAGCCGTGCCCAAGGCGACGACGATCAGCGCAAAGAAGTCAGAGTCACAGGTGAAGCCAGGCATGAAAGAACAAAACAAAGCGGACGAGGTGCATTGGAGATTTGTTGACATGGGTATGTAAATAGTTTCCCTTCTATGAAATTGTATGTCAACGCCGCAGGTTCCATTCAGTTGTCCCGTCACTGATCCAGAAGGAGGTGGGGGAGACTCTATTTAAGCGAAGAACATGCGATGTTTTGGCGCTCGATCAAGGCGAAGTGGGTGTTGCCATCCGCAATGCAATCACTGTGAGTGAGTTGAAGGCAGGGTGACTTTGCGTTGTCAGTCTCATTGTTGAAAGATCGAAGCAAGGGTCGCGCGTTTTGCACGTCGAGAAGGGCCCCCCTTCCTTGCCATTGCGTGTACAGTGTACGAACATGCACCGCGTAGCCTCGCAGTGGCAGGCCCAAAAAAGTCGTTGCGTGAACGCGTCCGGCAGGTGCGAAGCGAATGATTTGGCGAATGCGCCTCAAAGCCAAAACTGCAAGGGGCGATTCGCCAAAAATACAGTCCCGCTAAACCCAAATCTCACAGCGCAGCGGCCGAAAAAAGAGCAATTGCTCCCCAATTCATCCTCGCCTTGACGTTCACTTTCCTGAATGAAATAATCTTCTGCTACGTTAGGCAAAAAACACTCTGAAGACAACAAATTGCCAAGGCGCTCTACATGGAAAGAGACGCAGAACTTGCTGGGGACCAACGGCCTCTTGAAGCCCAGCAAGGGCTTCTTCCCAGCCCTGCTTCCAAATGCAAGAAAGCTTTCAGGCTGCATCGTGGACAGGAAAGGGGTGTCTCGGCTTTATGTGTCATCTGGCCAGATACTCTCGTCTTCAAACGCTTTGCTGTGTCAGGAGCGGGGCCAAGTATGTTCAAGCCTGGTGATGCTGATTTGGTCCAAGGGCTTCTTGTCAGGAAGGGCGGCGAAACTATCTAGAGTAGAGTAACTTTTGCTTGAGCAAAGTTTGCGGTCGGGTTCCCTTGAAACATGAAGCTCTACCCTCCCCTGCTCCACTCGACTCGCACGAGTTCACACGCTGGTCCAGTTGCCTGGTTTGAGATGGCGTTTGTTCAATATAGATGCGCTGTCAAAACGACAAAATGTTGCTTTCATCCTCCTGGGCTTTGTTTTCGCCCGCAGTGTTGTCAAGGCGCCTTCCATTTGCCCCGCTTCATACGTACTCAAGCGCTCTCGTGCTGGAGACAAAGCGCAAACAGCAAGGTAAATAAAGAAAGAAACAAAGGAAAAACAAAGAAATAAAGAACGAAGGAAAGAAAGAAAGAAAGACAGACAGAAAGAAGGACAGAAAGAAAGAAAGAAGGACAGAAAGAACGAACGAACGAAAGAAAGAAAAAAGGAAAGAACGAAGGACAGAAAGAAAGAAGGAAAGAAAGAAAGAAAGAAAGAGAAAAGAACAGAACAGAACAGAAAAAAAAAAAACAGACAAGACAGAAGGAAAGAAAGGAAGGAAGGAAGGAAGGAAAGAAAGAAAGAACGGAAGACAGAAAGAAAGCAAGCCAGCCAGCCAGCCACAGCCAGCCAAAGCCGGCCAAAGCCAGCAAACCAGCCAGCCAGCAAGCAAGGAAGCAAGGCAGCAAGGTAGCAAGGAAGCAAGCAAGCAAACAAACCAGCAAGCCAGCAAGGAAGGAAGGAAGCAAGGAGGCAAGGAAGCAAGGAAGCAAGGAAGGAAGATATGAAGAAAGCAAGGAAGCAATGAAGCAAGATGAAGCAAGATGAAGCAAGGAAGGAAGCAAGCAAGGAAGGAAGGAAGCAAAGAAGGAAGTAAAAAGGAAGGAGGGAAAAGAAAGGAAGAAGAATCCAAGATACCCAACAATTTGTTTGCTTCGAGCTGCGCATTGAGAAGGTTGCCCAAGAAGATTCGAACACCGGCATTGGCATCTTGGGTAAAAAGCCGCCGATCTGCAACGGTCTCATTGGTGGTGAGACACGAGGCCGCCGCTTAGTCGCCATGCAAATTACGTTGGATCCTAAACTCTCCCTGTTGGTTGCAGTCAATCAATGCCGCCGCACTTTCCCCTGTCTCAAAAGCCTCCATGTGCGATAGCAATTCGGCTGAACGGTAGTTTGGCCGACATCCACGGGATGATTGACCCGGCCCAGGAGATGAACGCTCGAGTCACTGATCTTAGCTCTTATGTGGTAGAGCTAGGACACATCCGCAAAAATGTCCAACCTGCTTGTCGGCACCTTCTGATGGAGTCCTTTGCTCCAAAAGGTTCCGGGTGATCCACACTCCTGACCAGCGCATGGAGCACTTTGCTTTGCAGTTTCAGCTGGCAATTTGCTATCAGTCCATTTTGGTACACAATGTCCGGTCTAGTTCTCGTGACCAGCCATTGCAGTTCCTCAACCAGCGCCTGACGACGCTTAAGCATGTCAACGTCCATCACTTCATCCCCTTTGTCTTCAAAGCTTGCCATCATCGCAGGGCCGCAGGGAGCTTCCTCACATGATCCTTCGCCTCAATGCCATGCTTCTGCAGTCACGCGCAGCGCCGTTGATGTTGCAACTCTTGTGCGTTGAGCTTGCCCTTGAAATTTGCCACTTGCCTCATCGTGTCCTTCAAGGATGTTCCAGCTGCCAGCCTGGTCTCGCTTCCAACTAGAAGGGGTAAGTCTGCAACAGCCACGAGACCTGTTCACAAGATTCCCTATCCATTGATGAGACGTTCTCCACGACCTTCTTGACCTTGACCTTCCGTCCAAAGATGGCTCTAAGCAGATTCTCCACTCGGGGATGTGATACACTAAAGAAGAGGCTGGTCCATTTAAGTTTAGCCGAACCCTTGACAAGTCTGCACAGGGAACCCCATTTGCAGGGGCATGTTTCTCAATAGCAATAAGTCCCTTGGGTTGAACATCTAAAACATCACACACCCGAAAGGCTCCACCAACGCCGTTGAACATGGATACCACAAGAATGGGAGCTTCAGCTCTCCCGACTCAAGAGCCCGAGACGCGAGCACGAAGTCGCTCCCTTCTTGTGTCAACCCCCCTGCAAGTGCCAATCGCACCTCCTCCCATGGATGAATTTGTGCGGTCACCCACCGTGGCTCCCAAAAAGTCGTGTAAGGAAGGGGAAATCAAGATCAATTTGAAAAGTTCGCGTTTGGTTTCCAGCACTTGTTTGCGACTTGGTCTGAGAGATGAAGTAAAGGCCCAATGGTGGTGCTTCCTGGGTGATTGACCAAGAGAGCGCCCTCCTTGCTGAGTCAATTTCACCCTGGAGGTTGCCCACCTTCTTCCAATCGACGACGGAATCATTTTCGAAGTGCAACCGTGCAACCCTTCTCTTCCACCCGGCTCCGTGGCGCCCAACCACTGCACCTTGTAGGGCCCATCCACTGCAGCGCCGCTGTCCTTTGCACTGATGATACTAACTTTTGCGGCGTTGGAGCTCGAGGCCTCCTTGGATCTGTCGCATGTGGCGGATGACAGAAATGGTGAGGCCGGCGGGAGAAATTCCACGAAGAGAATCGTGTCCAAATTACTTTGGCGGACGTGTCAGTCCCCTGGCGTAAGCTCATGGAACGACCAAGTTCGCTGAAATGACACTCCAAAGGCGTTATTTTTGGGAACCGGCTGCTCAGTCACGCAAATTTGGCGCAGCTATTTTCCAACAGGCAAGTTTGGGGAAAAGGGAAGCCTGTTGGCTGAGGTCTGCATCAATGACCTTGTCCCTTCATCTTGCAAAACAAGAGAAGGATGCAGTCAGTGTTCTGCTGTCAACCATCAGTGGCCAGTTGGACCCAACTTGCAACCTCGAAACTAGCAGACATATGCAGACATCAATTTGTTGCTGCTTGTGCCTCCGAGGGTCGTGGCTGGTGCATGAAGAGAGAGAGAGAGAGGGGTCATATAAGGTGTAACATGGATATGGCTGTGCATGCAACAGGCAGCATGTGAAATTCGGTGCATCCATGCCACAGTACATAGTACTTTCGCCCTGTGCGTATGTCCTAATGGCACTGTGCAAGCGCAAGTCCAAGTGAAAGCCTCCACATTTCAAACTATCACACGAATCTGGAACGGTGACCAACGTGGAAACTTAAGACAGACCAAGGCCGTCCCTGTGCTTCTTCCCCGGCTTGCAAGTTTGAAAGAACATGTGACATTTTTCCGCGCACCTGCGACCCAAAATGACTGAAACCGTCAATTGTTTGCAGTGAGGCCGTGATATCCAAAGAGATGAGTATCAATGAAAAAGATTTTCGAGTAGTGTCTTGGCTGGGTCGGATCGGAGACCATTTTTTTCAAAGCTGGAGCCATGCCCTGAACTCTTTCCGCCACAGCATTTGATCTCAACTGTTCGCTTGGAACCCTATGGAACCCTATGACTCTGACCCACCCCACCGATCCAGTTGCTGGTTAGATCAAGCAACTGCCTCAGTTCTCCTGCACGTTATTTTTGTTCTATGCCGGTATATATCTGGTGTTTTTCTGGAATTCAGGTTTTGAGCTTGGATGGGCAGCGACGTATTTTACAAGACAACAACGAATTCCTGGATGTGAACCTCTTGCGGAGAGCAGGCATGGAAACTGGCCTGGTTTCCAATGTGATGGAACGCTCAAACGCAACTTTCCAGGGCTGACTGTGGAACAGCCAGTGGACATTGACGTGGTGGGAATCGATGGTAGCCACATCAATGTGAAGGCCTATTTGGGCATGAAACGTTGAATCATTGAAGTGTGTGAGGTTTCAAGTTCCTGACTTGACGATCCGGAAATTTGCAATGTTTGGAACTCGGGCTTGGTAGTTGTATGTGACACTTGCTCCTGGCAGGCAGACCGTTCATGGAGTTCTTCTAAGTTGATTGAAGTAGTTTCAGACAAGGCTGGCTTCCCTGAGGACCAAATTGTGCTGAAACTCGGCCGCTCAACTGCACATGGGGTTGGGCAGCGTAAAGGAGAGATGACGGTACACGTCATTTTCACCTCACATGTATTTAAGCTGGAGTGCCGCCAAGGATTTGTAGAGTTGCATTGGCAATAAATGCAGAGCAGGGTGGGAGCATGTAAATCGCCATTCAACCACCATAGGGAGTCGAGCAGTTCTGTTGCCATGGCCTGCAGGGCTGTTTTCCTGATTGTGTTTGAACATGTCCAGCAATCGGGCAACCTTCACCTTATTCCCAGAAGACACTTGAAAGGCAATGTTGCGGCTCCATCTCATCACATCTTGCTGTGGTATTTTAGAAGCCGGAAGTGACAGCAATAATTAGTACTGTAATGGCTCACAGTGTCACAGTAGTACGTACAATGATGTCACATTGGACGGATTTGGAGATTGAGCTTTAAAGGCCGCAACCCATTGCTGTCTTCCGATGATTTGCTGGGTGACGTCTTGCCAGCTGGTCCCAAGCAAGGACAGGGTAGTTTTTTCGCATTCTCAAAGGTATGAGAGAACTCATAACAGTTGTTTCAGGAATATTGTTGACAATAGCTCATGCAGAAAGACGCAGTCCCTGAATCATCTCTCTTCATTTCCAGAACTCATTGCAACGCGGCCGCTGGATGTACCTTGGCAGTTCTTTCTCATGAAAAGCATGCACGTTTTTTCAAGAGCGAGACAATATTCACAGAACCGGATGCAATTTGCATTGGTTCAGGTCATTGTTTCAGACGACAGTGGTCGCAGGCCTCAACTGGGGTATTGCCAGCAATTTGTTTTAGTGAGAGAACACTACTGAGGTGGGTGATTTCTGCAGATCGCTCTTGGAAACTTCAAAAGGCTGGCCATCAAACGCTTGCTTTAACAGTACTTGGCAATGGCAACGCAGCTGTTCCGGCTGTTCCATCTGTTCAACGTTGGCAGTAGACGAGGTGCAGCAGAAGCTGATGGAAGAGTCAGGGTATGCTATAGAAGAGCAGACACTCCAGCACGCCAAACTTAGCGCAGGCGCCATTCTTCACCTCGAGTGGACTATCACAAACGGGGCTACGCTGTGTCACACTGTTTGGCTCGTTTTGAAACATTGCGCACTGACATGGTATGCAGATGGCACGCTCCCAAACTTGGATTCTGAGATGGAATTGGACAACGTTCTGGCAGAAGGCCCCGAGGCCCGCTTGACAAATTCAGGAGAATCGCAACGCGTGCGCATTTTCTGTGCAAATCCAGTCCACAGCGACAGTCGCAGGTACACATGCACTTGCTTGTTGACTACAAAAGGTTTATGGAGTTGAGCTTAGCAAGAGGTGGTCAAGGTGACTGTTGTTTGATTTCGTTTGCAACCCTAGGCAAATGCAAGGTACTCCTGACACATCCACACAACCAGATCACTCTACAATAAGGAGGCGGCAAGCAACTCACAAGTGAAACCGCCACTAGAACTGGTGAGGCCTGCAATACGCTCTCGGAAGGCGATGCTAATCTTATTCAATCTTGAATGCACAGCAGCATGAATGCCAATTCCGCATGCACACCAACAAAAAGGGTGGCAAGTTAGAGCAGGGTTTTGACTCAAGAGTTTAGAGCCCATGTGGGTTCCATAGCCAGGGTCATGGGCATTGGCCTCTTCGCTAGCCGCTGGCCCTTTAAGTGGAAAACCCTTGTAATCTCTCGTAAGTACTGTCGCTGTCATTCTATCGATAATTTGAAATCATTGAGTGTTGCGGCGTGAGGTGTTCGAACAGCTCGCCGTGGTAACCGCTACCATTCAGACGTTGATCCTTGCAGTGCGTAGTGGATGGCTCGCCAACGCACAACAGGCTACCAGCAAAAACGCGCCGCCCAAAGCTGCCACGTGTTTTGAAACACACACTTGAGATTATGCGTACTGACTCGAAGGCGGTTTGCCACACGGCAACCTAGGTAAAAAAGGGGCCTGAGTAAAACGAAACAAGTAAGTTGGAGGTGATCACTCTTAGGTTGGAGGCCGTTGAAGGCAGGTTGAGGGGCCATCGCTAGTAGGTTGGTGACAAGAAACGAAACTGCAAAGTTGGAGGTCCTCGCTCTTAGGTTGGAGGCCATCGAAGGCAGGTTGGGGGGCCATCGCTAGTAGGTTGGTGACAAGACACACAAGACAGCCAAGGTTAGAGGCCAATGCTAGTTAGTGGTTAGAGGCCAACGCATTCAGGTTAAAGGGCAAGCAGGCCTACCTGCAGACCTATAGAGTAGAATAGAGGAAACCAGAAGGAAAGGCACCGACGCACAAGTGTGTCCAATACCAGTTCCTTCTGTTTCCTGAATAGTAGAGCAGGTACATGGAAATGGCGTCCCATTTTCATATCCTCAGATACATCGCCAGCTTCATTGACCAGGCGACGATGTATCTGGCCTGGTCCCCTGCTCCAAACCAAAAGGTTCCCTGTGATTCCAAGGGCTTCACACACGGACATTCTTCAATATGTGTAAACTGCCTGGCAACACTGCTGTTGAGAATGTTGTTGTCTTGGCACAGAAAAGAACGGAAGACCTTGGTCATTCCACAGTTCGCAGCCCAATTCATGCACGGCATCACTTGACCTGGACCTGGCTCCACTTCGTTCCTTTCCTGCTTCCCGAATTCCAACAAGTGACCAATCAATGGATGAAACGAGCAGTACGTGAAGCATACCTTCCCGGACGTCCATATTCCTCAATCCCTTCTAGGAGATGCCAAGGTGTATACAACTTAAACAACCGAATTTCCCATACAAGCACATGGCATGAGTTTCTCTAAGCAGGGCTGAATCGACCCTTCATCGAGGCACCCTGGAGCCTTACGTGGTAACAGCCATTGCGTGTTCGAAGGCTGCTGAGGCAAAAGGCATGAAGGCCCTCCATGCAGCAAAGCGACCGGCAATGCGCTCAACGTCTCAAAGACATTCAGCGAAATGAGTCAAATTGAGCAGGTTCGCGAAATCAAGCAGAAATCAAGCAGTGTTTTTAATAAATAGTATTGAAAACCAATTATTGTTGAGACGATCCTCAGAGAGGTGGAGGTGCAGACGGGTTCAACACGCCACCTCGGTATAAATGCTGTTCTGCCTTTTGCTGCCCTGGTACAGCTCATCAGAGGAGAAATATTCCATCAGGAACACGCCTGCTGGCCGTTGTTGGGTAGGGCTGCCTGAACTCTTTGCTGCTCCTGCCAACTTGTTTTCAGCTGTTGGAAGTGGCATGACATTCCATGATCGTTGCCCAAAATCTGACCGTGACTGATCATCGTTGCTCAATATGTGCAACCACAGTTCGGTCATGTTGGGCCACCTTTGAGTTTGCTTTTGTGATGTGTGTGTTTTTTGACTGCTCAGAGTGAGATGCTCTGAGGACCGAGGAGTCGCTGAAGCTCGAGAGGCCGAGGCCCAGCGCAGGCCACGCTATCCTCGCCTTGTAATGTTTGCGTCGCTTGCCTCTCTACCCTTGTGCTTCAAACAGTGTCAATGCATCCTTTCATTGGCAGGAACCAAATGCTGCTTGAAAATGCGCCAGACTTCAATGTTGGGCCGCTGAGGAGCTTAGCAAGAATCTCAGACACATGAGACGACCCAGGGAGGCTTGCCAGTCTCGCTGTGAGGAACACATTGCCATTGAAGATCGCGCGCTTCTTCCATGGGAAGGGCAGGATTACCGAAACCAGACCCTCAGAAGTGACTTCAGGTGTCCAGTGCGCGCGACAAATCAGATCCCTTGTTGGATTTCACAGAGCTGAGGATGTGGAAATATCCACCTCACTCATTGGACTACACTCGCTTGCTCGACAGGCACAGTGGACAGTTGAACTGTTTGTGTCACATTGTCTCACCCAGTCTCATGTCAGTTGTTCTACTCCCCAACAGCCATGCTATAGAGTTTTGCTGGTGGCCGCCGCGTGTCCCGGGGTCGGTCATGGAGTAGATGGTGTCCTGTTCATGGTATGGGTGGTGTTTCGACGATGTTGTTGGTGTTCGTTGTGGCCCTGCTGTAGTGTGGATGGCGAATGGCATTCCATTTGATGTGCAGACACACGCGCTTTTGTTTGATCTCCTTATGTTTCGCGGTTGTGATGTGAACGGTGTCCCGGCCATGGTGGGATCCGTCCCTCATAGTGTGGATGGCGTTCCGGTCACCCCGACCATGGTTTGGATAGTGTGCCGGTCGTGGTGCCATTACCAGGACAGCATCCAAACCAGACCGGGACAGCATCCACACCAATGAGCGGGACACCATGGCATTGCATTGACCCAGTTCTCTCACTTCGGTTGAAATCGCGCCGTACCATCCTGGCACTTCCAGTTCCATAAGAATCAAAAAACTACCCCATCAAAACTAGACGACGGATGGCCCGAGAGCGTGGAAGGAAAGAGTATGTAGAAGAGGGTGAAAGCGAAACACGCCGACATTCGATGTAGCATACATGTGCACAGAAGTTAAGGAAGATAGCAAAGGTATACAAAGGTGACCAAAGCAAGATACCAAAGCAATTCAGCGAAGGAAGATCCCAGCAGCAAAGCAAGTGGAGCCAATGTACGTAGTAGTATCATTTGTGTAGCAGCAGCTGTAGAAAGCACACCTACAACTCGCAGATGTACTTGTAGCAGACTGTTGTACACGTGCAAGAAAACATGTTTCAAAGCATACTGGAGTGCAAAAACATTCTGCTTATCAGCAAACGTGGTTTGCGTCCAGGCGCGCGACGCTTTGATGTGAAACGGTTCAGAGAAACTGCTGTAGAAGTGCTTCTAGTTTGCTCTTAGGATGTGACAGAGCTCTGTGTGCACGGTAGACCTACTATGGCATGGACTTCTCCAGAAAAAGTCTGCGAAAGGTGTTCGGTACACCCAAATACTTTCCACCGAGGCCGCCGAGGCCGCGTAAAGCCGCATGACACCGCAACATCACAGACGTAACTTGGCCACACGTTTTGCCACAGACTAGATACAACAATGTAACACCAAACCTCGTGCGCACCGCCAATCATCCCGCTCCCCAACGACACGGCCGATTTACACCAGCATGTTTTCCTTCCCCCAGTGGCACGGACTCATGCGCACACACTTTCCACAGAGGCCGCGTAAAACCGCATGACACAGCGACATCGCAGACGTACATTGGCCGCACGGTTTGCCACAGACTAGGTACGACAATGTAAGATGAAGCATCGTGGGCATTGCCAATCAGTCCGCTCAGCGACACGCCGACTTTTCACATGTCTTTCAGGACCACTTTATGTTTTTTTTTAGCAGCTTGGTACGGGCGCGCTGCCGATCCACCAGGGGCTCGTAATCAGGTCCAGCCATGGCTCCACAGAGTTGTGCAGCTGCTGGCAACGGGACGAGGCAAGAGAATTTCTTTGCCGAGTAGCATCCTGGGCATGGCGGTCTCAGCAACGGCGCAGTTTGACAGCCTGGCCGCCTGAGTTGGAAGCTTTTTTGAAGACTATCCGGAAGCTGCCTTGTAGTTGCAAGTAGCTGGCTGCAGGGATTGGACGCATCGTGTTCTGAGAATCTTTGCAGCCGGAGGGCGACGCAAGTTAGCGCCGCAAAAGAAGAAGCCTGCTTTGACGCGAAGCAGAATCGCTTTTTCCTTCTAAAAGGAGCCTCCCGGACACCGCATCTGCAACAGACATCAACAGACTAAATACAATATACAACAATGTAACACCTAGCCTCGCCTCGCGTGCACCACTCTTCCCGCTCCCCAGCGACACGCCGAATTTACACCAGTATGATCCAGTACGCGTTCCTTCCCCCAGTGGCACGGACTCACGCACGCGCAGTATCCACTTCGTTGGGCAACGTTGGAAGATTGGCCGTTGCCCCCCTGCGTGATCTGTACATGGATAAAATTGGACTAAAGGAGGAACTGTGTTGTTATAGCGCGCGGATTCCTTAGGAACAGGCCTTGACGCACACTTAGATCCATGCCCGCAAGAGCTGTATCAGTTTGGACGTTCCCGAGAGCTAGTTGCTGAATACGTAGCGCTTGACTTGCAGAACCGTAAAAGTGAAGGGTCAGCTCAAAAGAAGGTTTCAACATGGACCCATTAGCACTTTACCAGCGAATTAAACGGAGGGGTGGCCACCAGCTGCGTCTTAGTTAGTATGCGCCCAAGTGCGCCACGGCAGGTACGTTTGCGCGCCCAAGCTTTCACGGTCTTCGGCCTTAAGTGAATTAGCATGCTGTGGTCATTTCCTTTCCTTGGAAACAGGAATTATTGACATACGCAAAAAGCCGAGTGGGCGCTCCCTCTTTTTCTCCGGGGAGGGGGGATGTGGGGGAGCGTGGGTGTGCGTCGACTAAACGAGCCTAAAAGTCGACCTAACAAGCCTGAAGGAAAGACCAAACAAACGAAAAAGGCAAGGAAAGAAAGGGTGCAGGGGTGTGGGGGGGGTTGTTGAAAGGCGCGGGCACAAGGGCACTGGCCAAGAAGAGAAACCACAAGAAGAAAAGTAAACATGTCCGACATGTCCGAAGTGACTGTACAAAAAGATTACTCAGACGCGTGGAGTTCATGTCGTTCTGTGGGGTAGTCAGTGGGCCCTGCGGCCGAGCAAACAGCTGAGCCAGTAGAATCAAGCAGTGACGACAATTCTTTGCAGAAGCGCCCTTAAGGGCCTGTGCAAGAAGCGCCCCTCGGCGGGGGTCACACAACAGACCTCTGTGGGACCCTGTTGCGGCGCACACTTAGATCCATGCTCGCGAGAGCTGTATCAGTTTGGACGTTCCCGAGAGCTAGTTACTGAATACATCGCGCTTGACTTGCAGAACCGTAAAAGTGAAGGGTCAGCTCAAAAGAACGTTTCAACATGGACCCATTAGCGCTTTACCAGCAAATTAACGCGCCCAAGTGCACCGCGGCAGGTACGTTTGCACGTCCAAGCTTTCACGGTCTTCGTTGGCTCTGGCGTGAAAGTGGACTCAGAGCCCCCATGCTGTCTGTACAACGTCGAGTGGAAATGCATTAGGCCTTTGCGATGAATAAGCATGCTGCGGTCATTTCCTTGGAAAAAGGTATTGACACACTATAAGACCATTGCTCACAAGAGCTCTATCAGTTGCGATATCCTCGCGCGTTAGTTACTGAATACTTAGCGCTTGACTTGCAGAACAGAAGGAGTGCTGGGTCGGCAAAACTGAATGGTTGGAACATCACGTGTTAGCGCTTGAAAGAAAAATTGGGGTAACCGCTTGTGAACATCACAACCAGAAAATTGAATGATGTGGTCACCAGCTGCGACTTATAATAGGCCTTGCAAACCCAGGGTTGCAGGTACGTTTACCTGATCATCCAGCGCGGAGCTTCGTTGGCAGAGCGCACGACCGTAAGGTGGATTTGGTGGTGCAATTGGTATTGCGGCTGCTTGCGCTGCCTCAGCGGCTGCCTGTTCTTGCCATGCCTTCTCTGCCGGGTGCTCCGTGATTGATAAGTGAGATGGGGATAAGACATGGAAAGACTGCGTGCAATCACAGGAGGCATGCTCATGCTGACGACAAAATCAAGCGCAGTGATCGAACTCGCGTTGGGTGGAACAGCAGGTCTTTTCCGCGAATCAAGCGCATACACTGCGCCAAATCGTGCACTTTTTGGGCGTGCAGTTGTGCTAATTGAGCAAGCGCTCGCTCAATTGGTGGTGCGTAAAACCGTCGCCTGAGGCGGCGAAAGGGTCTGTGGTGATTTGCGACGGCAAGAAGGGCTGGATCAGTCAAACAGAAGGTTTCAACAAAACGCACTAGCCCTTTAGACTGGGTTAAAATTCTTGCAGGTACGTGACTTTGACATCCCAAAGTCATATCACAACAAGATGGAAAGGTCTTCGTTGGGCAATGCCTTCCAAAGTGTTCATTGCCCCCCTGCTTGACGGTACAAATTAAATTCCTCGAAAACAGGAGTGGACACACACACACACACGCACATACACACGTGCCACTACTCAAACACGCACCAACTTCCTCACACCAACTCAAATCATTCACATTCACTCCACGCATTTTTACACGTCTTTCCGTTTTCGCTTCCGCCTGCTACAAGCGCGAAAACTTCACATGTAGGGTTACCCGGCCCTTTAATTTTTACATCTCCCCTCAGAAGCATAGACCGCAGATAGCAAAAAAACATGCAAAATATTTTCTGGCCTGCGTTGGCAGGAAACCTTTTACATTGGAAAAACGCCGCAGTACAGCGTGGCATGTCTCCACTACGCACACAGCCAGCACCAGCGCCCGGCACCGGCGCCCAATCTCCACCACACCCAGCACCAGCTCACAGCACCCAACACCAGCGCCTAGCACCGGCGCCCAGTCTCCACCACGACAGCCCGTTACAGCGCCCAGCACCGGCGCCCAATCTCCACAACGACAGCGAAGCGTGCAGCCAGCTCACAGCACCCAGCACTGGACCAGCACCTGGCGCCGGCACCCTGTCTCCACCGCGCGCAGCCAGCACCCAGGCACGGGCACCCAGCGCCGGCCACCACAGAGCCCAGCGCCGGCGCCCTGTTCCACCACGCGCACAGCCAGCGCCCAGCAACGGCGCCCAGCACCGGCGCCGGCGCCCTGCCTCCACCCACAGCCAGCTCACAGCTCCCAGCGCCAGCACCACAGTCAGCACCAGCGCTCGGCGCCGGCGCCCTGCCTCAAAAGCGCGCGCAGGCAGCCAGCTCATTGTTATTTGAAGTAAGAACCCCATAGCCGTCGCTATCTGGGGAACAATTCAAACACATGAAAAACTGACCGGCCCGGTCTGGAGTGAAACGCACACAAAAATCAATTTCAGCTACTTATGAAATTGATGTTCACACAAACTTGCAACAATATCCCTCTTTGCTGGGCCTTTATCATTTGGGAACGGAAATCCATACTGTTGGTGTGTGTCTGGGGTGGAAGTGGACGTGGAAGATTACAGGCACACACGCAGGAAAAATTGCAGTTTTTACCGCATGTGATGTGGAGGTGGGACAGGACATGAAGTGGTATGCTTGCAGTGACAAATGACCTAAATTAAAGGAATCGTATGCCTGTCATGGCCCTGGTGATGCGAACGATGCATGAATGAGACATTAATCACAACTGATCACGGTAAGTTATCATGCACATTGTAAAGTTTATTGTTCACTATGTTTCGTCCTCCTTCAAATTGTACATTTTTCAGGGGGCCCAACTTATATGCAACAATGCCTGCGTATATCTATTTCCCATACACTTCTTTCATTCGTCCACTGCATGGCGCTTGTCATCTCTAGGCCGAACAACGCGTGATTACGATAGAGTATACAATGTATTCAGTGTATGATCGCTAAAAGACCTCGAGGTGAACGGTGCTAAATTTGCACGCATTGTTGGACATAAGCTGGACCCCCTGAAAACGTACAATTTCAAGGGGTCCAAAAAGTAGAACAAGTTCAAAAGATACAATGCGCACGCTGCATGATGACCTAGAGATGACAAGTGCTGGAGAAATGGAGAAAGTATGCGCAACATATGACATTGGCAGGCATTGTTAAATACATGTTGGCCCCTTGGAAGATGTACAGTTTCAAGGGTAAAAAATTTTCCGGCAAGAGACCCCAAACAGTGTGTGTGTGTGAGGCCTAGCGGCCTAGAGGTGTAGCAGCAGAAAGTCTAGGGTCTAGAGATCTAGACGCATTGGGGTCGGCGATGGTGGTGATGAAGGTGGAGATCGTGGTGATGGCAGCGGCGGTGGTGAGTGTGACTGTGAGCGAGAGTGTGAATGTGAGAGGGAGAGTGAGACTGAGAGAATGAGAGCGAGAATGAGAGAATGAGAGTGAGAATGAGAGAGAGGGAGAGTGAGAATGAGGGGGAGTGAGAATGAGTGGGTAAGTGAGCGAGTGAGTGGAGTGGAGTGGAGTGGAGTGGAGTGGAGTGGAGCGGAGCGGAGCGGAGTGGGATGGGAGTGGAGTGAAGTGGAGTGGAGTGGAGTGGAGTGAGTGAGTGAGTGAGAGTGAGTGTGAGTGTGAGTGTGAGTGTGAGTGTGAGTGTGAGTGAGAGTGAGAGTGAGAGTGAGAGTGAGAGTGAGAGTGAGTGAGAGTGTGAGTGTGAGTGTGAGTGAGAGTGAGAGTGAGTGTGAGTGTGAGTGTGAGTGAGAGTGAGTGAGAGTGAGAGTAGAGTGAGAGTGAGAGTGAGAGTGCGTGAGCGCGCGCGCGTGTGGCCTTTGGAGTCACAAGGTTCCTGTTGGAATGTTTCCTTTGTTTTGTAGCAGGGGCACGCGGCCATCACGCAAACGCATGCCAACAAGCTATGCGCGATGGTGGAAGCCAGGTCTGATCAACCTGGTGTACCTGCCTTTGAGAACCTAAGTATAGCAAAAGCTGTCCAATACGTTGTTTCTGCACTTCGTGTCTTTGCGGTTAAAGGGCCAATGCAGCGGCAAGTCATTTCGGTTTCGCTCTGGAGGCATTGGAGGTTTCTTGGGGTCTTTCAGTTTTGTAATTCACCTGAACCCGTAGGCACTTGGTTACCTAGGTTGGCGCGTGGCAACTGCTTTCAAGTCAGTATGCATTTCTATAAGTGTGTCTCTCCTCGTGAGAGCCCGGGGTGCCCAAAGGAGTGGCCCCTGTGGACTCGTCGAACGGGGGTTAGTCGAACGTATCCCTGCCGGGATACAAAGCAGTCCGCAGCGGACAATAGGCTTAGGCCAAAGATATTTGCCAAGACTTGCTGGGTTATTGAATTCCAAGCTGGCTTATGCCTTTACGTGACCGCAGCGGTCTAAGCTGGCTTTACGCCTCAACGTGGTCAGAGCGACCAAAGCCATTTTGATGTTCATTGGAACCTGTCGTAACCTTAGGTGCACATACCGCGTCTACGGTCAACGAGGTTTGCCCAGGTGTTTCCAATGCGGTTTGGCTTCATCCGCTCTCGCCCCCTCCATCTGGTTCCCTTTTCATCCTTTCCCCTTTACACGCATCTGTTTTCTTCGTTTCTTTCATGTCCTCCTGTCTTCATGTCTGTTCATCTCATCCTTTCTTTCGTTTGCACGCACATGGGGGAACTCTACTTCCTTTCTAGGTCCTCTTTTTCCTTTCTAAGTTTCCTCACCTGGTTTTTCAGGATTTGGGTCTCTTAGGCTGGCGAGTGGCACCGCTATCAAGTCCGTACACATATCCATGAGTGTGTTTGGCCTCGTGCCAACCCGGGATGAGCCCGCAGAGTGCCTCCCGTGGACCCGTCGAACGGGTGTACGTCGTTATCTCCTCTGCCCGGAGATGTAGATGCCCAGAGCGGGCGAAGGTGGCCAGGCCGTACGTCCGATGATTTTTGTCTCATCTTTGGAATTCCAAGTTGGCGCATGCCTTTACGTGACCGCAGCGGTCTAAGCAGCCAGCCATTTTGGCACGGCGTACGTGGCCGCAGCGGCCGAAGCCTGTTCAAGGTTCATTGGAACCTGTCGAGACCTTGGGTGCACATACAGCGTATACATTCAAACGAGGCAGGTTTTCCTAGGTCGTTTTAATGAGGCTCGGCTTCATCGGTTCTCGTCCCCTCCATTTGGTTCCCCCTTTCATCCCCTCCCTTCACATACTCTTGTTTCCTCTTTTCTTTCATGTCCTCCTGTCTTCATGTCTGGTCATCTCATCCTTTTCTTCGTTTGCGCGCACATAGGTCCCGGCCTTAGTGTGAACGTGCACTTCTACACACATTTAAACACAGGTTTCAGGTCGCCCAGGTCTTTACAATGAGGTGGGCTTCATCGGTTGTCCCTGTGCACTTGGTTCCCCTTTCATTTCCACCACACGCACCTTTGTCCCGTCTCGTCCTCTTGTCATGTCTTCATTTTCTTGTCTCTTGCGCGCGCACACGTGCACATCGGCCCTCACCTTAGCTTCTCGCCTCCCCTCAAGAGAAACCTACGTAGAGCACAAGCTGTCTACTTCGTTGTTTCCTTCAGCGGCGATGATTTTGGCCTTTGGCCTTTTGCACGCACGTCGTCACCTTGTCGGTCGTTCGCTCGGCGCTTTTCTTTTGGAGCTGATGGAACTCTACTTCCTTTCTAGGTCCTCTTTTTCCTTTCTAAGTTTCCTCACCTGGTTTTTCAGGATTTGGGTCTCTTAGGCTGGCGAGTGGCACCGCTATCAAGTCCGTACACATATCCATGAGTGTGTGTAACCTTTGGAGTCACAACGTTCCTGTTGGAATGTTTCCTCTGTTTTAAGCAGGGGCATGCGGCCATTCAAACGCATGCCAACGAAGCTATGCGTGATGGTGGAAGCCAGGCCCAGGTCTGATCAACCTGGTGTACTAAGTATAGCAAAAGCTGTCCAATACGTAGTTTCTGCACTTCGTGTCTTTGCGGTTAAAGGGCCAATGCAGCGGCAAGTCATTTCGGTTTCGCTCTGGAGGCTTTGGAAGTTTCTTGGAGTCTTTCAGTTCTGTAACTCACCTGAATCCTTAGGCACTTGGTTACCTAGGTTGGCGTGTGGCAACCCTTTCAAGTCAGTATGCATTTCTATAAGTGTGTGTGTGTGTGAGTGAAAGAGTGAGAGAGTGAGAGAGTGAGAGTAGGTGTGAGCGAGGGTGAGAGTGAGTGAGAGTGAATCGAGAGTGAGAGTGGGTGAGGGCGTGAGTGAGAGTGAGAGTGAGCATCTGAGAGCACAAAGTGCTGTGCCTGCCACGAAATCTGCACTTCGAGGTTCACAAAGTGCTGTGCCTGCGGTTCACAAGGTGCTGTACCTGGTACGAAATCTGCACTTCGAGCTTCGCAAAGCGCTGCGCCTGCCACGAAGTCTGCACTTCGAGCTGGTTCACAAACTGCTGCACCTGCCACGAAATCTGCACTTCGACGTTCACAAAGCGCTGTACCTGCCACGAAATCTGCATATCAAAGTAAAGCTGCTACGATCCCTTGTGCCTGCCATGAAAAGTCGACTTTGGACCACGAAAGCACGAGGTTTCCCTTGCACCGGCCACGAAAAGTGACCACCATGTGCGAAAATGCGCACGGCGCCACAACGAGAGCGCGGTCGCGAGAAGCACCCTCACGAGCCTCACTGCGCAATCGAAAGTAGGCGTTGACGTCCGCGCGCCCCAGCGATCTAAGCGCAACTGCTTTTCCATTTCCGTAAGAACCCCTAAGTGCGTCCACATTGTTTGGGGAAATAGAGTGAAGAATAAAGGATGCAATATGGTGAAAGATCTTTTTTCAAAAGACTTTACAGTAAAAGTTGCGAGCCCTGCTCATTCGGTTGCGCATCATGTGGGGCGTTGGCTTGGACATGATTTACACTACCTTGCTTTGCGTTCTCTCTCGAAGCAAATGGAGCGGGCAGTTGTCGTCGTGTAGGGGCCTGATCTATTTGCTCTTCACAACCCACATGCACGACATGTGGTCCTTGTGTCACCATGTTGTTGTTTTGGATTTACTTGAATTTGGGTTCTCTATCAAAGGCTTGGAAAAGCTCTAGGCAAACGTGTTTGCGTGAATGAGCCCAGAAAAATCTATATACCTCGATGATCTCTCTGCAGAGATCAGCGCAACGCAGCGCCGTGATTTGGACGGTTTTAGGTCCTTGATCAGGCTCTTCATCCCTCACACGTCATGTCCTCTTTTCAACGTAGACTGTTCCTTGCAAGGGCACCGCAGACAATTGAATTCTCCGCGGGGCGCTGAGTATACCTCGCCTTGTCAAAAAACATTCAACAGTTTCAGGGTTTGTCTCCTTGGCTTCCGCATTGGTTGAAGGCGCTGCTGGCAGATCCGCCTTGGCGTGAGCCAGCGACAACGCAGGGAAAGCAATCACCGCATGCCAAAGATAAAGACGGCCAAAGTGGTCGGGTTACAAGTCCACACAGACCATTCTCCATCCAGGCGACGTTGCGTTGCAGTCAGATAATATAAGGTGATTTTGTTAAGGTGAGCGACGCGAAAACGTGAGAACGTTCAGGATAGAGCGAGACAATCGACAACAATGCCACTTGAGAAAGGCTTTGTGGAGATCTCCAAAGACCTTGATGATAGTGAGCAGCTCAGCTCCAAAAGTGAGGAAAGCCAGGAGGAGTTTGAGGAGCAACCTGGGCACGAAGAAAGCGGAGGGTCCCAGGGTAGCATTGAAAGGTTTCAATTTAAGAGAAGCCATGGAAGCGAAGAAAGCCAAGAGGAAGGCCAAGAGAAGGATAAGTTTTTGGAAGAGAGCTTTGGCCGAGAGTCCAGTGAGAACTTGAGCGAGGCACGCCAAGTGCATTGAGTGTGTGTGTGTGTGTCAACCCCTGCGCCGAAGGGCTTCACTTCTTTTCTCCACTTTCACGCCACGCAGCAGGGGGATGGAGAGGACATGTGAGGCTCCATCCAACGAAGCTCCTCACATGATCCTAGAGGATATCGGCAAGGACGCTTGCCGACGTACCTGCACCGGAAACTGTTGCTCAAGCTTTCCCACTTTCGATTTGATTCATGGTGGTTTCGCACGATACCTTCCCCACAAACAGGTTTCCCTCCGCATTGCAGCTGCTGAGCGCCGCTTCCACTTGCGCTCGTTGTGAACCTTGTTAAACAATACTGTGTTGCGGACTCATGCACCTTTCCGTTCCCTCACCTTCCTTCTCAGCTTGGGAACTGAGCTAACTGAAAACCAATGTCAGAGTGTGAACCGCTCAGCCGTCCCACTTGGGTGCTGGGTGTGATCCCCGTGAAAGGAGCGCTGAAGCCATGCAGGAAATCGTGTAACCGACTTACTCTGTCCACCACCTCTTGCAGTTTCATAACAGCCTTTGTCTCACCACCGAATTAATTGCCTTTCAAGCCGCCGGGCTAATACGGTTACCACCTTTTGATTACTGAACCCTTGACATTTCCTTGCATGTTCACCGGACTTTTCTGTATGCAGATGACCTTTGAGTTTCAAGTGTGTACAGTCGATCCACTTTCACTTTCTCACCACAGATTCCCCACGCAGTTGACTCACTATATTCAGACTTTTCATCTCATACCATTTCACCACCACTTTTCAGACGCTTACTCCCACTTTCATTAGCTGCCGGAGCGCTGCGCGGGCGCCGTTTTGCAGCTGACCGGGATTGCCGCTGCTACAAACACAGCCGCAATGCAATACCCGTGGCCATACCCATACCTGACACATCAGCCACCACCCAGAACAGCACCGACTTTTCCACTCCCACAGGCACAGCCGCATATGCCTGCCATGATTTCACACATGCCAGCCACTATGCCGCAATTTGCGCAACCAAGATGGCCGCCAACGGCCCATTTTCAAGCACTACCGCCGCCACTACCGCGTGCACCACATCTCCACCCTACAGTGCCTCTTCCATACACTTTACCTCCACAGGAGTCCATGCCGCCTTCTTCTCCAGCAACAGCCCCACCACAACCTGCTCCAGCCACACAACCGTCTCCGCAACCGATTCCGCAGCCGACACAAGCACAATGGACCCCAATCAAGGGGTTTGGCAACCTTTCTCGGCTTTTCAGCCAGGCCAAGTACATCCGGCCACAGCCTCAGCGCCTTCCGACCCATCTCAAGTTACAGCAACACCACCGCCTCCCGCTGCTGTGGCCACTGGCTCACAATCACCTGCCTCCACAGCGCCTTCAGCGCCGGATGGCCACACAGCAACAGCCGCCGAACAAACATCTTCAACTCTCCTCCCTCCACCAAGCACACCTCCACCTTCCACTCCAGCGGCTTCAGTTCAGTCAGACAACGCCAACGATACACAACCTACAGCTCCACCACCTTCCCACCCAAACGTTTCGGCATCACAACCGCCACAGCCACACAAACATCACAGCCGCCGGGAACACGGCCGCCGCCGACGACATCACAGGCACCACACCAGGGGCAGGCGCGCACACTGCCACCAGCGAACCACACACCAACACCATTCCTCGCGACATCACCGTTCACGATCCCCTTCAACTTCCTACTATTCTTCCTACAGCCGATCACGCAGCCGTTCCAGACAACCCATCTCACTACTCCCCAACAATGACTCACTACAGCACGACGCCGTTTCTAACCAGTCACAAACCAACTATCCCAACATTCCTGCTCTCCGCAGACCCACAACACCTTGGCGACCTTCACAGCAATTCCAACAACGAACACCACAACAACAGTTGGAGCTTTGGCTTGACTATCACGCAGACCAACTTGACGCACCCGACAAACCTCAACACACTTATGTTGCTTGCTTACTTTTGGACAGCGGCATCACATACAAGGACATCTCCGACTATCGACAATTTACCCACATCAAGTGGAACGACTACAAACAGCCACGACATCTACCAATACCACTGCATTACCATCCCCAGCCTGGTACAAAAAGCAAGCCGCCGTTTTCCACCACCAGCCACTCGAGCAACATCCACCTCACCAGAACTGGTCCATATCAACGCCAGCCACACTGGTCCACTTGGCAATGTCACCAACATTCTTCAACAGGGCCGCTTCCTCCCCAGCACTCTCCACTTCCCCAACAACCCGACCTTCTTCGCACAAGGAGTTCGTATCACACAACAACCACAGCATGACAACGCAGAACACGCCCGCATCCTCCACAACTCTTGGAACCTTGCCAAGAATACACACTCCATCCTTGTCACCATACTCGCTTGGGTCCTCCTACAACAGCACGGTGCAGTTTGTCATGCAAAAGCCCGTAGCTGGGTCATCCACCCGGACAATGCGATTGTCAAGGGCCTTGCGTGGTCCCTCAACGCCACTCCACCGGAAGCCTGAACTTCCACAGCAACACCATTTCACCACCGTTGGCCACCTTTTCACCAGTCTCACACTACAGCGCATACCACTCGCTCGGCGACAAAAGACCGAGCACTGCCAGCGCCAATTTCTTCACTTGGAATTCAGATCGTGCACGCAGAATGCAAAATTTTCCACAATACATGGATTCTTAGGCTGTGGTTTGATTTTGGGACTCCTTCGTTTGTTCACCTGCTCAACGGTCTTGCCGAGTTCTCTTGAGCTTCAAGAATGGGTCACATCAGCAGGAATAGTGGCCATAAACACTGACAATGATTCTTCCACTCCGGTGTTTGAGAGCGTGTGGTGTTTCCCTGCGCGAGTATGAGGAAATACCCTGCTGAGTGATGGACAACCTTTTGCATGAGGCTAGCACGTTTTGTTGATACCTGGACATGCTGATTTGAGGAGGCCTTTTCGAAGGCACATTCGTTTCCCGCAAAATTCATGCTCGATAATTCACTTGCACGCCCCAGTCGACCGTTCTTGCTGCTTTTGCCGCTGCGCTTCCTCAGCCGCGCCGCCTCGCTGCCCTCAGCAACCGTCTATTGGCACAGCTTTCAAAGCGATGAACAACAGCTTTCAAAGCGATGAACAACAGCACAGAACAAGTCAGTTTGCTCCGCTGCACAACCATTGCTCTTACACAGCTCCATCGCCTTCTCCAACAAGCAACAGACATCCTGGCGGATCTTCACAGCCTGTTCCTGCTCCACACTGGACAGGTTGACCAACATTTCCAACGTTCCTTTCCACCTCTCCCACCACCTCCCTCATTCACCATTCCGTTACCTTCACCCACATCCTCTTATAACTCAGCGCCAGTGCACCGGCACTCTCCAGCTCCACGCAAACCAACAGCATCTCTTGATTCTTCTTCTCCTTCTCCTTTACCACAACCACCACAACCCAAGAAGAGATGTGAACCAGCACCACCATTGAACTCCCAAGCTGATTGGGACGCTTGGGACGGCGACGCCAATTGTCGTCTCGTGGAGCTCAAGACAGATACCCACCTTCGCCCCAAGTCGAACTATGTTGCCCGACGGGTGGGCTTCTCCGTTGAACAGTGCAAAGCCCGCTGGCAGGAACTTCAGGACATGCAACGACTCCAAGACACCTCCACGCGACCTCTTTCTCCTCCGCCTTCTCCTATCACATCACCAGTCATCTCCACACTCCACATTCTGCTGCTGCGGCGTCTACAGTGGCGGCGGTGCGAGCCAACAGTGAGGGCAGGCATCCGGAACCAGCTGATGACCCGTTTCTGGGTAGCTACTTTGTGTGATATAGGCACGTTTCACTCAAGTTTCTCTAGGCGCGCTGCCGGAAATAACTGTTCTCTCATCGTTTGAGTTTCAATTTCACGACTTTGAGTCATGATCTTGCACTCATGTTACTGCAGCCATATGTCCTTGAACTCGGAACTTCTTTGATATTTCATACGCTTGCCTACGCCGCCAAATCATGGCCTCCGATCATGCTGCCGCAGCCAACGACACATCGCCCAACCCATTCATTTGCACTCACCACAACTCAACCTCTCAGTTTGGTTCGCAACCTACACCAGCCTTTACGCCACAATCAGCCCTCTCCACCTTCCAAGCAACGCACCCATCCACCTGGCACCATCCATCACACACCAACCAGAACTACTTCTTCTCAGCTGGATGTTTGACACCCTCTTCATGCTGGTCACCCACATTATGGATCACCCACTGGCCGAAGGACCCATCCCAGATCCAAGCATGTTCGTTGACACCAACGCATACCAGCTCTTCCGCCAGTTCCACCACAGCCTGGTGGACTTGGGTCCTGCCACCCTGCGCCTGACGCGAGCTCGACGACTCCAATTCTTACCAGGCCCTCCAGGCCTGCCAGGCCAGTACTGCATGGACCCCACAGCTTACTTCCCACCACACCCTACCGATTTCCTCTCTATACAACTCCCGTCACCCCTCCACAATCTCCAGCGCGTTCTCACCAGCGCTCTCGCTTTTCCTCTTACACAGCAACTACTTCAGCCAGAGAGCGGTCACGCTCACGAGACAGATATACCCACCTGCAGCGCAGCCGACTGCAATCAACATCAGCCAACAGGCAGCTACTGAAGACGACCACTTGAGCGACCACGAGGCCAATGGTCTTCTTTGACCATGTTTCACCCTTTTCGGCTCGGCGTGCAAACGGAAAACCTGCTTTCACCTTGCACTTCTTCCGGTTTTTTGTATTTGCGCTATATCAGCCTTTTGCAATTACGCTACTTTAAGCAGCCATTTCACGCATACCTCCTCCGTTTTCAGCCGCTCCGGTGCCTCAAGCTGCCTTAGCAAACCAGCTCTGGACAGCCAACCTTGACACGGTTACAGACCAATCGAGCCTTTTACCCGCATCTTTTTCACCAATGACGTTCAAGCCTTCATCGACAGCACCGCCGACAGCCA